CAACAACGCCGCCGTCCTCTTGATCAGTTCCCCAGTTTCGGACGTCCCGTTCAACATCCCGTTCATGTAGAGCGCTGCTTTCTGCAAAGGTTTATAGCTTTCCCCAGGTCTCACAGCGAACACTGTACGCTTAATGCTACTCTCGATAAGGTGCATCCTCGTGTTCGTGATGAGCCTTGAATGTTCCCATTGCCCAGCATAGGTCAACTCCAACGCGTTGAATAATGTTCGGGCGAAGAAGTAGCAGTTGGTCGCCAAGAGACGATAGCTTTTCGATTCCGGTGCCGTCGATTCCATCGCCAGGCATAGAGGTTGCATAAGTGGATACGAGCTCGAATTGCCCAAGTCGCCGTCTGCCATAAAGTTGTAGTCGAATTGATGAGGGGGTAGGACTGATTCGCCTGCTCGTTGGGCGGCTTCACGGTCTCCGCGAGCACGGTCCAAGTACCACATATTATCAGGAATGAGAAGAGTCTTTATGATCCTTTGACGCTTCATGAATGGGAGTGCGCTAAGGTCCGTAGGGGCTTTGGGACATGGCATGATGATAACGCGATCTTCTGCCGGACCGGGATTGAAAACCTTCATTGCATCTGAGATTGTCATCTCCGCGATGTCTTGGCTCCTCAATGTTCAAACGACCAAAGTGAACCAATAACGAAATCAAACGATCGGAATTAGCTCGATGTATTTTACTCACTTCTTTTGCTCGGGAGAGGTCCCAGATCTCTCCATGATGATCCTCCAACTAGTGAACATGGCCCCGATCCCGGCTTCCACTGTTCCGGCGCCTTTTCCCTTCCCTGCCTCCCCACCGGCTACCTCACTACCCCCATCAGCCTGCAACGGCCCCCAAACGTGCAAAATCAAACTCTCGTGAAACCCTCTTTTCGCCTCCGTACTCTTCACCAAATCCACACGTCTAATGGCGGTTAGACGTCTATAAGGTGAGGAGAGTAACCATTGACAGAAAATTTCCACCGACATTTGACGTTGGTCGGGCATTCGTACACTGGTCTCCCCTTACGTACACGGAAAGGCCAGAAGACCATATTTCGGCTTTGAGACGAAAGGAGGGGCAAGCGCTGCCAAGAAGACTAACTTACGAGCAACCGTTCGGGAGAATCGTACGCCCATTTGGAGGCAGGACTGATGACTATGATCGCTAGAAACTACTGTGAGTGTCTTATGGTACCGGGGCTATGGTCAACGTGAGGGAAAGGTGGGAATGCGCGCAATGATGAGGCAGTGAGGCACGCTGGGCACGAGAATGATTAATTGTCCCCTTGGGCTGTCCAACAATGCTGATCCTCGGGTAGCGCAACAACCGACCGAGTTAGAGGGCCACAATAACCCCTGACTTCCCACTGCATGCACTGCGACACATGGAAGCACGCTGTGTGGCCATGCTCGCGCGCGTGGGACCAGAAATCGTGCATGAGGCTTCTCTAGCCGATGATATCACGAACCTCATGTATTGTTCAAGTAAACGTAAACTCCATTTTACTTATGTAAATAATATTACGAAGTCAGAGAGGCTCAGGGAGTCGGCCTGCTTAAACTCCATGCTTCACGCCAATACAGTTCCGGGCTAATATCAGCTCACTCGCCTTCACTTTGCTCATTAAGCGATTGAGGGCATAATTAAGTCCAGAACGGGGATGTACATATGTTCGAGAGGTCCAGCTAGGGTCACTCAGCATTCCGGCCCGACCTGTAGTACGTGAACTGATAAAATTATGTTTGTTTCCATAGTCAGGTGCACTGACTTTGACAGCGAGCAAACCAAAATGGTAAGAAGGGAAAATCCAAGACACCTCAACATCAACAACGGTGAGATACCCTCAGCGTACCGTGTACGTAACGCTTGGAATCTCAATAGGGGTGTTGGGTGTCGATTCCCGGATTCGATCAAGGAATCACCTTGTATGCATGCATGCAGCTATGTAGCAGCACGGTGATGGATTGGCAAACGCTCCAGGGAACCAATATTATTTTTTTCTTTCACCAGCAAGCATCTTCATGGAATGGCCTGGAAATATACGATCAAGTGTTATATATGGGACTTGACCTGCCTCAAACCGATCTCCTGCCCAGAAACAAGTCGTCGCCCCCAACCGATCAGTGATCATAATTACAGTGGGCCGTGGTGCGCGGGGAGCTAGTTCGGAAACAATGTTGATTTTTCTTTCACATATAGCTGTACTGTGCATATGTCGTCCGCTTTTGGTGAAAGATGGAAGACTAGTCTAGCTGGGCAGCTGAGCCAGGGAATTCGTTCGGATTGCAGGTCGCACACATGCAGGGATGCAAAGTCTATGCTAGCTATGCATTTGGACATTGCTATCAACTATGAATCGTCCACAATCTACTGTTAATTCTGCTGTTTTCAGCCTCAACAGGTATATATTCCAAACAACATTCCGTGTATGCCCCGCCGGTATGATTCAATTCCCATGGCTTCCTTTGATAGTTGTACGTGTATACATGTAACGTTGGCGTGAGCTAGTGAACATGACAACAGTCGTTGGAAAGCAAAAATGACGATCGAAAGCGAGGAGCAGGTATCAGACAGTTGTAGTTATGGTATACGATCACAAGGATTCTGTACTAGCCAGGGAAAGGAGTTAAGAGGGGGATGACGACGACGACGACTCGCGCGCGACGCAGACTACCAATCAATGGGCAGGAAAGGGAAAGAAAAGAATGGAAAGAGGAAAAGAAAGAAGGAAAAGGGAATAAACACAGTTGAAAAGTAAAGCAAGCACACGAGTCAACGGTGACTACCTCGCAAGAAGAAGAAAAAAAAGTGGAAACGTCGCAAGCAACGAACAACTTATCAACACCAAAACCGACGAATAAGAATACCACCAATCAATGGCAACGAGAGAGAAAAAAAAGCCAATCGATCGATAGGGCCTTTGCTCCCCTGGCTTTCACCGCATTTCGCGAGACATCCAAGCTCTCCTCCTCCCATGATGTCTCTTCTCCAACCAGAACTCGTCATCTCCAGCAACATCAGCAGTCCTCTTAGGATGCATCGCCGAACGAGTCATCGTATTCGATTCGTGCTCACTACAATCCCCCACATCATGCAGATGTGTAGGAACAGAGGCGTGACTGGTGGTCGTGTGGTTGTGAGTGGGCATGTGCGTAGGCTTCACGTGCAGAACGGAATTCCGAATGGACTCGATGATCGAACTGGTGGGTATCGGATCGGGCTTGCCATTCTTTCCAAGAGGGACGGTAAGCGTTAACGTAACGACGGTGTAGGAGGGTGTGTGGGATCCTTTGTGGGAGACGGATGTGAACACGGGAGTCGAAGAAGTGATGGTGGTAGTAGCATTGTTACCAACGTTCAGAGGAACACCAATGGACGTGGTAGGGAGGGACTTGACCACAGCAGTACTCATCTTCTTCGATGGCGTCGTGCTAGTATTCTTATCTCCTCCCCCATTACCCAAACCTCCACCAGTGCCCAAAAGAGACACAAGGGGAGGACCAGGGAACTTGCCAGCATAATTAAACCCAGCTTGATAAACGTCAACTAGAATACCAGGATCACTAGCTTTATAGGCCCCAGGGAACATGGTGGTCGGCACGGTCGAAAGAGCCGAGGTCGAGGCTTTCCCACCTGATATGCTCAACTGCATACAAGAAGGGTAGAATTCAGCTCCACCTGAACTCTGAGCACGGTGAAGGGCGATCAACTCGGATCTGAGGAGGTATTGACCATCTGGTAGACCGGTAGGGATTTGAACGCTGTAGGGTTCCCCATTGAAGAGATCCTTCATGTACCAATCGCCTCCGGGACTTTTCTGACCCAATTCTGAGATCTTGAACCACTTGTTGGACGTCCCCTTATCGGTTTTGCAGTCGTTGTTTTCACAGAGGGCCATGTAGGTCATGATGGGGCCCATAAAATGAATCCAGTGGGCAGTGTACGAATTTGCCCACTACATCAACCGGTTGAAGGAGCGCGACAGGGTGCATACAATGCGAACAAGAGGATGGAAGTGGTCAGCGTGTTGATACATGATCCGCTGGGAAAGATGGAGGGGGGAGACAAGAGGCTTACCAAGATCTTAAGGTTCGAGCCAGGCTTAGCGGGCGCAACTTCGGGGGCGGGACCTGTTGAATAACCACATGACATGTCCATCGAAGTCGGATCGGTAACAGGACCATTTTGGGAGACTTGACGAATCATAGTGTCCATAGGAGGACCACCAGGAAGGGCACCTTTATAGCTCTGGCCATCGATAGTCACTTGAAGGACACCACCATGAGCGGAGACAGCTTGAAACGAAGAGAATAACGCGATGGCGCCGAGAAATACACGGGAGGTGGTTGGGAGCATGGTGAGTTGGGAAACGGGTGTTGTAAAAAAAAAAAAAACAAGAAATATGGTCTGTAGTTGGGGCGCGAGCCGATCAGAGAGAGTGGCTTGATACAACAAGAGTGCAAGTGCGGAGGGAGAGGCGTGCGGCGCTGTTCAAAAGAAAGGAAGAGAAAGAGCAAGCAAAGCAAGACGAATGGAGAAGGGAGGTGAGAAGGAGGTGAGTGGAAGGGTGAGTTGGAAAGAACAAGCAAAAGGAGGCAACGGGCCTGATCTTAAATACGGTATCACCGAAAATATTGAAGCAGGTGGGGGGTTACGTGGAATTCATACGGTCACAAAAAGGAGCGGGAATCGATTCCCTTATTCCCTTTTGTGTGGCCGTTGATGTGACTGAGACAGAAACATGATCTTCGAACAAAGACAAGAAAGACTCTCTTTGTTGTAGCCAGAACCCCTCCATCCTATAGTGATCCTATCATCAAGCCAACAAACTAGCACTTCCCTCAGCGTACCTCAGGCATGTAGCTCATCGCAGTCGCCGGCGAATGCCCCGGGGACGTTGCCCCACAAAAAGGACCCATTGATTACGTAACCAACTAATGCCTTGTTGCCATCGATTGAATGGTCACCGAGGTTGGAACCATTCGACCGCTTTGGCCATCAGGAGGAAAACGCATTGGTGGAAGAAAAAAACAATGTAGGTCAATGTGGCTCCATCAATTAAGTTTTCGTTGGCCTCAGTCGAACAAAATCCGCGAATTTGCCGCCCGGTATTGGTGGTTAATAAGGTTGACGACGATATTGTAATTAAGCTACTTGGCCTTTGAGAAATGACTGGATCACGTCTGGGTGCGGGGGTTGTAACCACTTCACACTATAATACCGAGAAAAATTTAACGTTGCTACACACTGATGATGGACGCTGGTGACCTGCCTACTGCGATCGACAAGGTGATCGACTGCCGTCGGACATGGAGCGCGTTACCATCACATCAGCGGCGCCCAACGACGCCACCTTGATTCGGGCTGTCCCCCGCGCGTGTCCCCACCGTCATCTGGCGCACATATTATTAATGTATATACATCTATGAACCACGGCGATCTTTCCAGCCTACCTCGCCACATGTGCAGACAAAATCTTCGCCACCTCTTCAATATTCGTAGTCTAGGAAGAAAAAAATAAATGTCATTGAGAGGACAGAAAAATTTGAGAGTGCAGTCGAGATAGACATACCTTTTGCCCTCCTTTCCGTGTGGGGGGTTCGGTGACTTTAAGTGTCTTGAACGCAGGTTCAAAGTTAATACCGAGATCGGAAGGTGTGATTTTCTCTATAGGCTTCTTTTTGGCCTTCATGATGTTTGGCAGAGAGGCGAAGCGGGGCTCTAAGGTAAGACAAGAGAAAAGGAAAAGGTACCTCTCAGCATTCTTTTTCGGTAGGGGCCAAAGCAAGAACGAGCAAGACACGCTCACCATTCAATCTAGCCCCAAAGAGGAGCAAGGCAAGTTTCAGCCAGTCGTCAGCCAACTTCATCGGTTGATCGCGTGGTCGCGTTTCCGCGCTCCATTCGCCCCACACAAAGATGGAAACACGGTAAAGCTCACCAACTCACCTCAAGTCCGTAGTGATAACAACAGGCAACCTAACGCTCAATTCCTCCGCTCCACCATCCACCTCTCTCATGATATCCACACCTTGTCCATCCTCCCTCACGTCCACTCTGCTCACGAACGTAGCTTGTCCCCATCCTAACAATCCAGCGAGAATCTGTCCCGTCTGCCCTGCATCATCATCGATAGCCTGTTTACCCATAATCACCAGATCCACTTTCTCTTTCTCCTTCCCTTCTCCTCCTTGCTGCTGCTTTTGTATGATAGCTTGAATGACCTTGGCGACGGTGAGAGGTTCAGGCAAAGGATTCGATTCAGCCGTTTCGACATGAATAGCCGAATCGGCGCCTAGGGCGAGGGCCGTACGGAGCGTTTCAGCGGATTTGGGAGGTCCGATGGTGAGTGCCGTGATGTTGGTGATCGGGAAAGGAGAGTTGGATTTTTGGGCACGCTCGCGGAGGCGAACGCCTTCTTCTATAGCTGTATTTTTGGTATTTCAATGTGGTCATGGGAGGAGAATGGAGAATGTGTAAGTTGAGGAATTCGAGAAAGGGCATTTTGGCGGTTTGCGCACTATGAGCGTACCTATCTCATCGAATGGGTTCTAAAAAAGAGAAGTCATAGTTTGATAGCACAAAAAGCTTAGACCACTAACAGTAAAGAAAGAACGTACAAAACGGAACTCACCATCGAATGTTTAACATTTGTATCAACCCCCGTCTGTGCTGCGTTCACGCGAATCTTCACAGCATAATCTACACACCTTCAACAACAGAAGAAGTTTGTTCCACAAGTAATTTTAAGAGCAGAATCAGTGATTCTTGGAGTTTAATTGGGGTATAGATACAGATCGTACCGCTTGACGGGGACGAGGACCCGTAAGTTGAGGATTGGAGTTGGACGCATCAGTCGGAAGAAATAAAGCCACAGCCGTGAGAAAACCCAATTGTACGTGGCTATGCGGATTGTTGATCTGCCCGAATTTTATTATCTTCTACAAGGCATGGGAACCTTCGGTGTCGCCACAGATGATTTGAGTTCGGCATCAGCACTGTGATATCTTCCCTTTTCCGGACTCTTGACAGGGCTGTGTACAGTTGACCATGAGCAAACACATCATTTCTGCCATCAATGACTACGAGTTCAAATTTGAGGCCCTGACATGAATTAAATGTGGTGGCATATGTCAATTTGAGTGGAAATTGTTTTCTTTGCACTGTGAAGTTCAGCCAGGGAGGTTGAAAGTCAAAGAGGATGGATGGATGGATGGATGGATTCATTTTAAAGTATGTAACCGTGCCTATCGGCATATGCCGTACTATAGTGACTCGGGTGAAAAAAATTTGGAGAACATAAGGATGTGAAGAAAGGAATTTGTTTGACCTAGGAAGTATGAGACATTGAGTAATCAATGGTGTGAAGGAGAATAAAGTGAGATGAAGCAATAACACATAAAGGGGCATGCGACCCTGCACTGAGATTGAACAATGGGTGAGGGAGAATGGAGGTGGAAAGAAGTTGGATAGAGAAAAGGACATGCGACCCCCAGTGTTGGGGTCGCATGGCTACTGTGTGCCTATGGTTAAGTCAATGTTTGAGTGCACAGTTCTTGCAGGTGAGTTGGATGGTGCTTTCATGGGTTTATGTCACAGTAGGCTGGTGAATGTTCCAGTGGCAGCAAAAGGCAATGGGTGTTGGTGGCATCTTGCTCATGCATGTTGAATAAAGGCATGTGGCAGATAGGCCTTTGGTAGAAGGGGTAGTGGAGAGAAATGAAAGTGTTGGGGTGATGGCAGGACTTGAACCTGCACTCCTCTGGCCTGCCCATGGACTTATGGAGGTGTGAGGTCTCTGGGTAGCTCAGCACACAGGGCCGTAAGTGATACAAGTATGTGTATTTTACGGTGGTGTGTAAGCAGTTACCTGGAGGTTCCCGCTTACCCACATGACTATATGTATCTAATTACATGTGGCTTGGGGTTCGGGGCTATTGCCCTGACATTCTCCCCCCTTGTGTTGCATTTGCGACGCATACAAGGTTGATAGTGAATAACACAAAGTTTTAATAATTGATTTACATTGAGTTTGAAATTATCAATGATTGTTTTTGTTGTTGCCACTTTAAAGTGGGTGATTTTTGTACATGTTGGTGAAGGAGAGAGAAACAGTTTAAGGAATAAGTGAGTGTGGGCCATCACTTTGAAGTGAACAGCGATACATGGGTATCGCAGGGAGAAAAGTAGTGGAGTTTGTTGAAAATGAATTTTGACCCAAAGGTTGTATGTCTTTGGTGTTCCTCACTTGTTCCATGAGGGTTTGTGTGTAAGTGGTGTTTACACACGAGCGGTGGTGGATGTGGGTCTTTTGATGGAGTAGAGATTTCCGCAATTGTTACTTGTGGTTCCTCGCATACAGTATTGTGTGCGGGGCCTCGAGTTGGGGGAAGGTGTTTTCACGGGCGCCTCGATGGTGTATTACTGTGTCACTTTCCCTTTTCTCAAGGGTGGAGTCATTGCCCCGGAGGAGGGTTTTCCTCTGGGTTGTTCATCTGGACATCCGATTGCTGCATCGGATGCGATGATGTAGCCTGGGCTACATTGTCGGGCTGTGGGCTCAACGAAGTGGGCGCTCCCTGGGTGGGAGCGGGTTGTTGTGTTCCTGAGCTACTTGGCTCAGGTGTGGAGTACGGTGTCACGACCCGACATATCCATCACTTCTGTCAACGTGTCCTAGTGCCACTTGGCCCATTCCTCCTGCTATCATCATCATCCATCCACCCACCCGTCCACCCGTCACCCTCATCCACACTTCCTCCCTCGCACACGTACCTTCCAACCTAGGTTGCCTGCTTCATTGTTGTCCGCTTGCCAGCCGGATGGCTTGCTAGACGGCCGGATGGCCTTTTCTCTTTTGTCTGCTTGCGGACTATTGTTCCTCCTTTTGTTCCTTGCTTGCCTTTTGTTGACCAAGTTTGCCGATATTAACTATTTGTTCCTTTCTTCATTCATGAATATCGCGCTTGATCTGCCACTCCTTCCGGGCCGGTCTCATTTAGTTACTTGTGTTTATAACGCGTGTAGGTTACACCGGATGTACCTCAGTTCGTATATCGACTTGGATTCCCCCTCTAGACTCCTCTCTTCATTGTAAGGCTCCTGTCCGAAATTGGGACACCAACATAAGAACGAAGCGCAGCGCTCCACCCGAGTCGCTGAAGCTAAAGTCCTGCCCCTCCGACCTTACGAGTCCGGACAACTTTGCGCACCTCACGGGTCACCCGGATACGCGTCTGACACGTTCCTGACAGTATATATGAACTCAAATCGCTCTTACATTCTTTCCTTGCTCTATCATTGTTTCACTGAACTATGTCTAGAGCTTATCAGACCTGTTCACAGATGCGCACTGAACCTGGTTCTTCTAGGCTTCCAGGTCTCGGGACACTTGAAGAACTTTTGTGCAGACACGATCTAGACCCTTCTGAACGTCCGCCATTCCAAAGCTTTACGGCCAACCATGACGTCCCTACCTCCTCCACTCCAGCACCCTCCCATTGATCTTGTCGTTCAATATTCCAAGACCATGACGAGGCTGCTGTTGAGAGAGACGTCGACCTGGATAGCCAAGCTGATGACTATGACCCCGAAGCTTCTCGTAACCCTACTCCATGTCCTGATCCCGCTAATCCTCTAGACCCACCAGACGCCCCACCCAACTGTGGTAATGGTGGTGGTGACGGTGATGGTGGTGGTGGTGATGATGGTGGTGATGATCCGCCTGAGGATCAGCTGCTGGATGACCCGGGTAGCTGTGTGTTGGCTGTTATAGGAATGGAGTCTCTCGCGACTGTGTCGACTGAATGTCCACCACAGCGGGCCCTCCTTCTCCATATCCTCCCTTCTCTTTGTTACCTTCTCCCCACTTCCCCCCTTTCTTACACGTTCACTCCGCGCTAAGCTTTCCCTTATCAGGTTTTGGTGCTGGCTGGATTATTTATTCTATTTCGCGAGATTTCTCACGATCATTTCTTATTCAATAGTTAGTGTCACGTTCATGTACGGCAACAGCCGAAAAGATGAAACCTAACAAATAACACACCATCCTCTTCTGTGCAACAACTGTAAACCTCCTTGTGCCAACACTGTATCGTCTGTGTAAGATTGTGTATGTCTCAGTCACCATCTATATGGGTCATCCCTGCCGAGGTTGACGACTCTAGCCATGGATCATCGAGTTCGCGCGCGACTCAACTCAGGTATGCACGAACACCTTTTGTTACAACTCACGTCGCTCGCCCAGGTACTGGGCTCACATCTGTCTCACCTTATGGTGAGCATCTGGTTAACTCTATGGACGGATTGGTATTCGATACAAGCCCGTTCCCCTCATTGCCGGTATGCTCTCGCGAGTGCCAAGTAGCCGTCGAACCCACCACGTGTTGCTCGACCTATGATCGACTAACCCCTCCGTCACCGGTACGCTCTTACGAGCGCCAAGTACCCATTGACACATATACAGACCATTCAGCAGATGAACGGTCTCATACCTTGTTGCCGGTACGCCCATCTGGGCGCCAAGTATCCATCAACCAAACCTCTAGCAGCTCCCTCAAGGAGCTAGAACATCACTTGTTGCCGGTACACCCAATTGGGTGCCAAGTACCCATCAACCAATTCTCAGGAAGCTCCCTCAAGGAGCCGTTATCTCACTTGTTACTGGTACACTCCCTCGAGTGCCAAGTACCCGCTAGCCCTGTGTCCTCGACTAGTCCCGTTCTGGACATTCTCTCAACCTGTGATCCTATACACCCACGCACGGTACGCTCACGTAACGAGTGCCAAGTATCCGTCGTAACAGACTCCCATTCACTGCGAGGTTGCAGCTTTCTGTCAAAAGCTCCAAGGCTATCGGACAATTCTAATTACACGACTAAGCCACCCTACATACATGAGGTGGACAATTCCAAGTCGTTTATAAGGACAGAAAGAAATGGATTGCCCTTAACACATTTCTTTAACATTGGCCCAGTTGATGGACGCTATTGCCACCCTGGCCCGTTCAACCACTGCCACTCGTCAACCTCCAGACCCCAGCCGTAGGACAAAGCTTCGTGAGCCTGACCAATTTGATGGTACTGACCCTCAGAAACTCCATACCTTCCTTGTTCAGTGTGAACTCAACTTCCAGAACCGCCCCAAGCGTTTGTCAACGAGCGTACGAAAGTCATCTACGCCATGTCATTCCTCAAGGGGATTGCTCTGAGTTGGTTCAAGCCTGAACTTCTTCACAGTAACCTGAATCACCGTCCACGCTGGATGGACGACTAGGAACTCTTCGTCCGAGAACTCGAAGAGAACTTCGGCCCGCACAACCCATTTGGTGATGCTGAACGACGTCTGAGTACCCTGACTATGTCGGATAATCACAGAATCACCAAGTACGTCGTCGAGTTTAATCGCAATGCTTCACAGTTACCTGGATATGGTGAGGTTGTGTTACGGGGATGGGGGAAATTCCCCATTCCTCGATCCGTTCTTATAGTGGGAAGACGAAAGTCATGTCTAGTTCGTACCATAACTGGAAGTGTAATCGATGAGTGATCCCAGTCTGACCTGGGAGTGGACGATCGAATTCCCATCGATCGCGATGGGTGATGTAGTGAGCTATTAAGGGATTGATGATTGATAGTCGGAGATATCAGGACAGATGGGTCAGCCACAGATACTTGGCGCTCCTCAATGGAGCGTACCGTGTGCGAGGTCGCGACTGGTGAGATGGGTGAGAGCTTCGCGTAGTTGCCATCGGGTACTTGGCGTTCGCAGTGCGAACGTACCGGTAGCGGGTTGATATCGTAGGCATGCAATGAGGGCTGACTATTAGGGCCTTCGGTGACTTGGCGTTCCCAAGGGGAACGTACCGTTGGTGGGGACATATGATGACTGGCAAAGGAAGAAACAGACGGTGGATGGGCGGCTACTTGGCGTTCGCGTAGCGAACGTGCCGGCATCGCGGGTAAGTGGGCCTCATAGTGTTCACGATCACCATGATCGTGATGGGACGTCGTATGTTGAGTACTGGGGGAGAGCGGAGTGATGAAGACCCATAGGGTACAGGTT